TTTCGGACTAAGAGAACAGCGACCACATGATCAATCCATCTGAGTCGCTTTTGCGCCCGGGAGAAAAAGTGATGAAAGAGCATCATATCCTACAATAATACTCTTTTTACACTGTACAATGGAGATATCCTCATGCCCTAGAAGAGGGTGTAATGTGCAAAAAGGTGCTGCCCCCAGACTACCTTGCACCAGAGACAGCCCACCAGGTACCCTGGAAAGCCTTCTGGGCTGTAAATGGGAATTGTGTCCACTAACGGTAGACGCTCTTCTGGGTGCACGTGCCACAACCTCCTCTGTCTAACTCGTTACCCGGTTATGCGACATGGGCGGGTACTCGAGCGCGTTAACTGAGCTTGTAATGAACGAAAGTCTGGACGTTCACTGCACTTACCCGGGAAAGCTATTGTGCACAGATTATACTGACTCAAGACTACTATATATTGCTGCTTCTGTAGGAACCCCTGCGCTCCTGGAGGCGATGTTTACCCATGCACCTGACCAGCTTCACGTTAGTGTGACAGGGAAGAGCCTGTTATACGGATTCGTGCCTGCTTCCTGGTCCGCAACGTGTTTTGAATGGTCAGTGTGCGGAAGAATGGTATGCCTTATACCTATTGTTGAACCTGTCTATAGGGTTATATAGCTTGGCCTCTCCCACATATATACTCCACTATGGTAGCAAGACCGAGTTCGAGTTCGGCTCATTCGAACTTGCGTAGGAGGACTCCTTTCTGTTGCCTGCCGAATGTCTCGATGTTATGGATGTCATGGCAACTAGAAATGAACCTGATTCTCCAGAAGCTACTTCAACGATTCAAAGATGTATCGAACTTCTCTTTCGCGAGAGGACTACCTTGAAAGCGAGGCTTTTCCAGGCAGCCTGTTTGCCGTCCTTGCTGGGCAATATGGGTCTTCGTAGTCGTAGTTTGTACCTTGACAACCCTATACAGTAATTTATGAGGAGGATCTGGATGAATTGAGGTATATTATTGGCTGGTGTAAAGTCGCTCTCCAAAAGGAGATATAAATGGGGAAGGGGAGATTAAGAGTAGCGTAACAGATAAATCAAAGAACTGCCTTTCTTTGTTGTCATTTTTTACATAACATGAGAGGATACATCAAGGAATAGACGATCTTTGGAGAGGGGCGATGCTTAATTCTGAATCTCCGGAAACGTGTCAACGGGTTGGGTGACGGATACTAGTATGTCATGCTGAGGCGCGAAATTACGTATAGAGTAACGAACCAACGAAAAAGCAAGCGAGCGAACGAACGCGAATGCAGTATAAGAGTGTGTTGAACTAGCTATCTAGGTGCTTCTAGCAAAACAAAGCGAAGAGGTCCTTTGTGTGGGCGGTCTGAGCGCCAGGCACGTGACTACGCCTACACTACGGAGTAAGTTGCCTCAACATGTCATGTACATCAACCCATTAACTATCGCATCTTTCAAATACAGTCACTGCTAGATCTGTGGTCGGCATCTTGTATGGCTCCATCATGAATTTCCTTCCTCATCAATATAATGATACGAACAGGACTCCACCCATTGCACTTCAATCAACAGCTCGCTAGGCCATGATCAGGTCACATCGACATATAGCCAGGCTCTCTTGTATATTCGTAAAATAAGCCAGTATACTGAGCTTACATCAAGGGAAGCCAGACGCCGCCTCTGGGAATCACTTCCTGAAAGTCTGGACTTTCCGTACATCAGATAACGCCAAGCCACATGTAAAACAAATGTTAATGCTTCGATTCAGAGACACAGGTAGATGATGCAAGCCACAAGAACAAACACTTTTACTCTTTAGTGTCTGTTCACGGTGTAATACACTGCTTGATAGGTGTGTAGGTAAGAATTATAGCTCTGTTGGAAGGTTGTGGGACGGGCTTTGCCAAGGATGGTTTGAGTGCTCAGACTCGCCATGAGAATGGATATCTACGCTTGTTAGGGCCCTTGTAGTACCTCTATCTTTGTGGATTTGTTACTTCTCGTATAAGAAGGAAGATGAATGAATTAAACACCAATAAAACATGGGAACATGCGTGAAGATATTCGCAATGAAAACAGTTGCTATCATTCTGGGTTAGGTTCAGTCATCTCGACTGTTGTCTTATCCTCCACAAAGACATTCGCTTTAACGATAAGCTGGCGATAGTCAGGAGAGATAAAACCCCCACAGAAGTATACTGCTGGATACCTCATGCTCATAATCCGGTGGCCATTGAGGTGGACACTGTCAAAAGCTTGGGAAGAATCTGCATCCATATCTGGGTTCGACACATCGAAAACTCCTCCGAGCTCATGCAAGTTGCAAAATGCTACATGATGGTCGTCCTTTGATAGTCTCACAGAGAGTTCTGCGGCACGCTGATATGCTACTGTCAGACTCCGCTCTGTAAGCGCGACTGATTTCTCGTCCGGTGAAGTTTTTAAAAGGGGCTCCAGTAGTTCGTGAGACATCACTTGCTTGACCATAGTGTTGATCATGAGGTTTCGGCGGGCGATCATGCTCTTGGCGAAGTTGCTTTGATCAGCACGGACGTTGGTGCTGCAAAGACGGGCTGTCCATAGGCGCCATGATTGAGCTAGAAACCCTTCCTTGCCATCTGAAAATAACAGTAAGATATTACGGAATCGCAGCCTAACGGAGAGAAGGGTTACTTACCAGTGTCGAACTTTTTAAGTAGCTCATGAAGTCCGGTACCGAAGCGAGTAGCTCGTGGCAGAACTTCCTCGTCAAACTCGGTCCCTTCTCCTGGATGAGGCACAATGTACCAAAAGGGGTTCAGAAAGAAGCGTTCAAGACAGTCCTTGACAAGAAACATGGTCACGATCTCCGTTCCAAATATATCACCTAGTTCAAGAGCACCAAGGATTTCATTCAAGTCAAGTTGGGCACAGTAGCCATCCAAACTCTTGACGAGATCTTTCTTATAGTTCGCGGGAAGACCGTCCAAGACGGCCGTTTCCTCATGAGCGTGGAGTCTTGCCCAATTTCTTAGGAGGGCCCAAAGACCGAAGAACTCTTTCTCATAGTAGTCATGCGATCTGCATTCCCAGCCGCTAGGGTCAGCGGCCAAATACTGGTATTTGTGTAGTGCCTCAGCTGTCCAATCCTCCAGACAGTCTACCCGTTCTTTCATTCTTTCGTATTGTGCTTTCATATCCTGGCATTGCTCGTTCAGCCTAGCGGATTGCTCTGTACTGCGATGGTGTTCATCTTGCAGTAATTGGTGCTTCGTTTTGAGCTTTTGATGTTTTCTTTTCTCCCTCGATAATTGTTTATACGTCTTCAGATGCTGTTTGCTCATCTTTTGCTGTTGTCTGTTTATGTCTCGATAACGTCTGTTCAACTTCCGACCTTGTTTCTTTGATCTTCGATACACTTTTTGCTTGAGGTTTTGGTCTGGTTCCCTCGAAGAACCGACATCATCTGGTGGCAATTCCTCAACAGAGGGAACAAAATTTGATCGCTGTTCCTCCACGGTCTCTTCATTGTTCGTTGGCTGTTCCCCAGGAGACTGGACGTCGTCTGGTATCGGTCCCTCGGCAGACTCGTTATTGTCCGCGTGCTGTTCCTTAGGACTGGCGATATCAGTCGGTGGCCCTTCGATAGGACACTGCGTATCGTCCGGTGGCGGTTCCTTCACAGACTTGACATTATCTAACATTGGCAAGGCTTTAGATTTGGTACCATGACGGACTTCTGTTTTCGAATCGTTCATGGCTCGAATACGCTTCGATCTCCGAAATTCGACGGTGTCTAGATGTCCCTCGCCGTTTCCATCCTGTGTCCCACCCGAGGACGGCTTGTAGGATGAAGATGCTGATGGAGCAGGGGCAGAGGACTCCTGGATGTTAGATCTCGGGGGCCATTGGAGGGAGGACGAGATAGACAGATAGAGTCACGTGCTCAGTGTACGTACTTTTGCATTAGCCTTTGCGTTGTGTTTTGCCTTATTCCTTGCCATCTTGGCTGCCATTGTAGATAGAAGGTGATATGACCACCTCTCTAACTGAGCATTGGATAAGGCGGCGGCCTTGGGTGATGGTAGAGATAACTTGAGGATGAATGAAGGTGTGTAGAACTGTACTACCCGGGGAACGCGGAAGGGTTGGGAAATGAGGGGAAGGTGGAAGAGCGCACAGTGGTGCACAAATGTAAGACAAAAGAGAGGCTAGACCAGAATTTGACTGCATCGATGCACAGACTGTAATTCGTCCCACAGCGTTTGGCTCGATGGCACAGTCTGACATGGCGTCTCATTGTTGATCTTTTGTCTATGTGGTACAAAATTCGTCAGTTCCGGGCGCCTTTCTTTCAGCAGGCTGGGGCCGTGTTCTTTGTCAGGTTGGGGCGGAACGAGACGATAGTCTGAAGAAAAGAAGTAGGGGCAGCCAAGACGGTTTGGACGCCACGGACTTCATCGCGGCATCAATACAAGCTCCTATAGATTGAGTGCAAGAAAGGATGGCCTTCCTCATTGCTTATGTTTGCGATGGATAACGATATGGGAACGTTGAGGTCATATTGCCACTGCCCTGGATCAAGCACACACGCACTCTGTAACCCATCGGAACGGGACAAGCAAATACTACAAATACTTATGCGTGTATTGTATTCAGCAAACTTAATTCGTGCAACGAAGACGCATGAAACGAAGAAATGCCAGCGAAGATTATGGATTACAGAAATAACTGTTGTGCTGCCATCGAATAAGTGACTAGGATTGCTTGCAGTATAACCACCGACAAGATTTTCGTTTGGCGTGACCATCATGTGGAAGTGTCTAGGGTGATTGCACCACCTTGTCTAGATGAGTAGCTGCCAGTGCATCATCATATGATCCTGCACTCTGAATAGGAACTAACTGTGAAACCGCGAGCCACTATATAGGGAGGTCTTCGGGATATGTCTGCCTCTGACATCCTAACACTGGGAATCGAGAACAGCAAAAGGATAATTCGGTTAACTAGTACGCTTCACTGCGACAGTCTTTTATTCGGACGTACTTTTACATTCTCAAAATGCCACTGAGAGTAGCGGAAGATGGAAAAATCATGGTCGGTGTCGACTTCGGCACGACCTACACTGGCACGTTATCCTTTCCAAAAATGCCATTCTCTTCTGAAATATAACACGTTGCTGACACGCAATACTCACAGGGGTATCCTACTCCTTGAGGAGCCTTGAAGTGCGAGGAGGGGAAGATAATGATCACCTCATTGATGAGTGGCCCGCTGCCAATTCCAGGGAAATAACTGCAAGTAAAGTCCCCACGATCGTCCAGTACGAGCATAAAACCGTGAGAGGTATCAAGACACTAGAGGCGACCCGGTGGGGGGCCCAGGTACTGGCGAGCAAGGAAAACTGTTCATCTCTTTTCAAACCGTTGCTTGAACCTAACTTTGATCGAGATCATGATCCTTATGCGTTTTGGAATTCCACAGTCGGTCACGGGGGTTTTTTCTTACCGGAAGCCAAGGAGCCCTCCGATGTTATAAAAGACTACCTGGATTGTGTCTGGAAGTATTCAAGCAAAACTATTTTCAAAAATACCCGCCAAGGGCCTTCCTATCACCCGGTACACTACACTATCACTGTACCGGGAATCTGGGCAAGGGAAACCCGCAAGGCGCTGGAACGGATCGTCAAGGATGCCGGGCTAGCAACGAAAACAAATGACATACTGACTATGATTCCGGAGCCCATAGCGGCAGCAGTGGATATCTTTAGGAAAAAGGCGGATACATTCCAGGTACGCTATGGTAGATCCCACTGCTACGATGTCGGTAATGATAGTTGACAATTAGCTAATAAATTAGGGTGACGTCGTCATGCTCGTATGTGATATTGGCGGAGGAACTATCGTGAGCTTTACCCTTAATTTCGTCATGTCGTTCTTTATCATTGTTTACTATGTTTGGTGCCCCTATGATTATAAATCACGCCTGAAATCCTGGCATACATAGGATGTAGGATCGGTCTTCATCCGTCAAACTGAGTTTGGCCGCTATATTCGGCAGCTCGAGCCAACCCGAGGTATTCACATTTTGCATAACTCATTACCAACGAAGCTAATCCATCATACCAGGGGACCTTGGCATGTTATCAGTGGAGGCGGCTTTCTACAGAACAATGTATGAGAGGTTTAAGGACACATTCAAAAATCAGAACACGGAGTCCATAGGTCCAAGTAGTGCCTTGATTCGCGAGTTCCGGGATTGCTTTGAGAGATTCGCCCCCGAAAACCTAGAGGAGCACGGCTGGGAATGCCGTTTGCCGTTCTGGTCACTACTATCGTCTAATAACCCGGACTTTTACGACCGTCGCCGGAAGGAAATATTCCTGTCCGCTCGAGACATACAAGCGTTTCTCGACCCTGTCATTGATATGGCGGTAAGTCTGATCAGCGAACAGCACCATGCTGTAGCCACAGCCGGCTTTGGTGGTAAAAAGCAGGCAAGTATTTTCTGGAGCCTAGGCAGAAAACACAATGGAGACAATCGTAATTGACAATGGACGTAGCATGTTTACTTGGGCGGAGGTGGGGCAGAAAATGCCTACATCTTACGGTCAGTCAAGCGGAGGATAAAGGATAAACATGCGCTAGATGTCTACACTCCTGACAAGCCGTACGTTGATCAATTATTTGACGACGTTGGTGGAGATTGTAACTAATGTTTGTTAGGCAACTAGCCGTCGTCAATGGAGCCGGAGTTTACGGCCTCGATGACGTGCTATCTATCCACAAATGTCCCCAGCATATCGGGTTTGAATGTGCCCAGCAGTATGACGCAGACAGACATGGTCAGCCACGACCGGAGGTCCTTACACGAGACCCTGTGGACGGTAGAAACATGGTTACCGGGGCGGCGATCTGGGTGTTCGATATGGTAACTACAATTCCTCGCGTTCCGACTTTGGTGCGTGTCTGCTAATGATGTGATGAATAAAGGGGAGGACATATCATGACGGTGCAGTGGAAACAGAAAATGTTACGGAATACTTTCTTGACAGCGAATTTGGAGACCGCCATAAGAACATATTTGTGTCAAGGGATCCACGGCCACCGGCTTTTGTGACAGGTAAGTCTCCTTTTCTCCCCTTTTTTCCTTTCAGTTCTTTTTCTTTCTTTAATTTATTTATTCATTTTTTTTCTCTTTTTTTTTTGGCATTCGCGGCATTGTTCTGTTAACAATTTTCTTTGAGATTTGGAACCTCTTACTGCCATCGAGATTCGGTTTAGACAAGTCCCTGCAGGGAAAACTGAAGTCAGGGTAGTTGGTGGTCGGAGGCAGGTACGAATTCGTTACGATATTTCCACGACGTTTTTCCCTGTCGACAACAAGATTGAATTTGTGGCAAAGGTATGCAATCAAGTCATTGGACGTCAGGAGATCAGCATGCCCTTTCACTGAACTGCCTTACTTGGAGGATTTCTCTGCAGTAAAAGCTTTATTAACTGCCATCATCGTCGCCTTCGCTCATTTTTACCCCATTTTACTATGCCTTATCTTATCTCCTAACAAAATTGCACCTTTTCTTACCAACTTCATCATTTTTCTCCTTCTGATTTAGGCACTATCTCTTTCTCTTCCTCCTGCCTGTTTTGATTTACCAAGTATGAGCGATAGTATCAGCATTTTCCAGCTACTCTGAACGTAGGTGGTAGGAGGCATGCTCCCCAAGAGTAGTTACTATCCGCCTCCATCCAGCTAGATCGGGAGCTATGTAGACCATTACGAAATGTTGTGCAACACCGGGGAAGCGGAACTCTGCGGCGAATAAGCGGAGGGTACACAGACGTTCAATAGCGTTTTGAGAGACCTCGTGATGTCTCACACCTCGTTTCTGTAACCTACAATATTGATTGATCAAATCTCGGCCGATGACAGGATGGACTGTGTCAACTCGCAGGCTGGACATGTCGGTCGGGGTTATTGCGGATAGTTGCTGAAGCAGATGTCTTTACCGCGTCCGTGCATCGTTTGAGCAATGCACTGTATGTGAGGAACCCAATACTGCACTTGGGAACAGGCCTGTGAATACTTTCTTCTATATTCAGTGTAAATTTTCTTGGTACGTGGACAATCACAACCACGCGATGATCTGACTTGACACCAGCATGAATTTATTGATAATATACGAGCAACACCTGATAGCCTCTGCCTAGCTGTCATTTTCTTCTTTGTTTCTTTCTTTCTTTTTTTTATTTTATTTTATTTTATTTTTATTTTTTTTTTATTCATTTTTTCTTTACTGTGAATTTTGACTTTATCTGATCTCATTTTTCTGTTTTATTTATCTACTTGGTCGTGTTCTGTTCTTGTCTTTTCCCACCCCGTGCCGGAGTATATAGTCAACCTTAAAACTATTTTTATCACCGACGGAAGGACAGCTTACTGTAGGCTTATTCAGGATCCGAACGTAGCTCATCTACCTGTGGCTTGGGCTTGCGGCTACTGAGTAAATGCGCACTGCTTTATCTCCTCCGTGTTTACGATAGTCGTTGAGTGTTCTGTAATGAGACATAGCTATCCCTGTGTTGGGGCCATCCCATGGGGTGGCAGTGTAATTTACTTCCTCCACCATAGCAACATACTACACAGGGCGTTCAGTTAACAGCACCAGTCTTATGTTATGACCACGCCATATAGTGTCCCCGATGGAGCCATCTTTGAGGCCCTCGACGAGTAGAAAAAGGACTCGAGACCCCAGACATGTAAATCACGTGATTGGACGACATCCCAGATTGTCCACATCCCGATCCTTCCTTCTATTGGCTGGCGTGCTGCCGGATGTCCCCGGAACCTCAAAACTGAAGCAGCAGCCCTGAGGTGAACGAACCCCTGCAACGATTTCCCCCAGCCGTTCCAATTAAGCGGGGACTTGATCTGACAAGCAATTGACAGGAGATCGATCATCCAGCACATCCGCTCCATGGCAATCTTTTCTCGTTCCTGTTGTCTGGTGATGGGATCGAGTTACTGATCAGGTTTTTCCCTCCCGGTCCACCCTGCAGCCTGCGGGGTGCCGATGATGGGGAGAGTGGCGGCGAAAAGACCCTACCAGTCGCAGTCTAGACTAATTGAGGGCGAAGCCTCCTTCAACTCTGGATAGTGAGCTCTCCAGGGTCGGCCCGGAAGATGACAGGATGCCAGGCAATTGGTTGCAAAGAGGCGGTCTGGCCAATGCATCTCCCCCTCCCTGCCGAATGAACTGTGCGCCCCAATCACTGGCCTTCACAGCGGATTGCCGCCTAAAATTCACGGATACCTGCTGCTTCAACCTTTCACAACCACCACCACCACCACCTCTTTTCATTCACAACGCACTTGACTGCACCGGGCTGACCTGGATGGGCACGGTCCTCCTCTCCAGATGCTGGCTGCACTTTTATCCTCTCACTTATCGCTTAATGCAGCCCTGTTTTTTCCGTGCAAGTAAGAAGATCAAGGGGATAGATGAAAGGAGAATGGAAAGCGCATCATGTGAAAGTCGTCAATTAAGAATACTATTCAAGCCTCCAGTAACAAATCTAAGTGTACAAGATGAATCTCCTACTCCGCCGTCCAAGATCACCAGACATCCCGACTAGGGAATTAGTGGAGCACGTGTGGTAAATTCTAGAACCCCAAGGCAAAAGGGGGCGGCCGCACAAAAAGCCCGGCCTGTGATGCCCTTGGAGACTTTTCTCCTTTCTCTCATTTTTCTCGTCGACCATGCGCTGTGAGTGTGTTTGTATTTCACGGGTATTGTGTGCATAGTACCGGCCATTGCAGTGGTGTGGTGATCCATGCTCTGCTACTAAGCACCCTGGCCAGTTTCACGAGCAACAGAGTGTCAGACTCGGTGGAACACTCTAGCTGACCGCGCATCGTAAGCTGCTTTGGTTTTCAGGGTCTGCAGCTGACCGTGGCCTTCGTCACGCCGCTCCGACAAATGCTGTCTAAACTGCTCTACAACATTCAGGAGCTCCCGCCTGACCATCGCGTTATCGCGGGACAGCGGCACCGGCGCTTGCTCTGTTACGTAGCCCATCTGGCATCATGGACCTTCAACTTTTATCTCGTCCTTCGACTAGCTCTGTGTTTCTCTGCCGTGGAACAAGATTGGCGAGTATGGCTAACTCTGTTGGTCGAGATCGTCCTCGCCAGTATGTCTATACCACCGTGAACTGCCGTATTTCGGCATCCCGGCTCCCTTCCTGAGCGAACGAGGACGCACAAGCTAATATGTTGTCAGACATTTGGCGCCATGATCAGCTTCTTACCTTATTGGGTGGCTCGGCATCAGATGGCCAACCACGCCAAAGACTGCGATTACACGGCACCGACGATCTACCGCAGGTGGACATTCTGGTGCCCTGCTGTGGAGAGCCAGTCGACGTCATCCTAGACACCGTGCGCGCTGCCTGTACGATGGACTACCCAAATTCCAGCTTTCGGGTCCGCGTACTGGACGACGGTGCTTCCACAGAGCTCGAGTCTGCCATTGCATCACTGCGCACCGAATGGCCTCACCTCTTCTACCACACCCGGGGAAGGCAATCCGGTAAAGTCTTCGCCAAGGCTGGTAACATGAATTACGCCCTCTTCACCCTGCAAGCGAAGGCGCCACCTGAGTTCTGTGCCATCTTTGACGCAGACTCCATCCCCATGCCTCACTTTCTGAGGGCGACGTTGCCCCATCTCCTCCAGACCCCGGAAGCAGTGCTCCTCACCACCCGGCAGTACTTTTACAACCTCCCATCAGGTGACCCTCTGTCTCAATCACGCCTCCATTTCTACACATGTGAAAATGCAGAGCTCGATCGTCGGGGCCTTGCTCAGGATGCAGGCTCTGGGGCCCTTTTCCGGCGACAAGCCATCATCGATGCCGGCGGATATCCAACGTACTCCTTTTCCGAGGATTGGCAGCTCTCGCTTGTTCTGAAGGGTCTAGGCCACCGCACCATTCAAGTCCAGGAGCCACTACAGTATGGATTGGTTCCGACATCCTTGGATGGACACATTGCACAGCGCAACCGGTGGCACATTGGCCACTCCCAACAGCTTCGGGTGTTGATGCCGCCCACAAACAAGACGCTTCCCCGCTCACTGCAGTGGAGTATTGCATGGAATGGCGTCTTCATCATGGCTGGGGCAGTTGGTTGTTTAATCACGTTTGCAATGGTTCCATTGCTTCTGGTGTCGGGTCAGCTGGTCCCAGACGTTTCGCCACTGCTGGCCAAAGCACAGTTTTTCTTGGCTGTCCTCCATATTGCCTTGACCTGGGCGTATGGACTTTTGCAGAGTGCGCATACGGGATTCGAAAGCTTTCCGTTCTCTCGTTTTGAAAATATCTGGCTGGCTGGAGGTAAGATACACATCGTTTGTTTTTGTTTTTCTGCTTTACACCCGCGTATCGTCATTGCCCATTTTATGGTCATGACGGGGGTCTGGACTTCAATCCCACTACTTTTTTTATCATTACCCTCACATTTGCATCCCTCCATGAAGATGGAAGCTCTCTCTTGCCTTCGACTATGATTCAAGACATAACTAACAGCAACAGCACACATCCACGCTGTCGCTCGATTCCACCTTCTAGCCAGCCGACCAAAGGGCTCCTTCGTGACTGGCAGCAGCGCCAACTCATGGAATCGCAGCGCGACCCCGACATCCCTCCAAAAGCTCTACCACAATCTGTGGCACAACGGGATCGCATACAGCGTTGTGATTCTGCTTGCCACTATTGCATCCATCGTCTACTCGATTTACTCTGCCATCACAAGCACCGACGATAGTTTGCTATCCCGCTTGCTCACTACAATTGCCTGGCCCCCGATGCTTCACATCTGCTACCTCTCCATCGCCAGTTACTGGGCGCCCGTCTCCTATTTGCTGAACCCGCCGCGGTATCCGGAGCGGAAGGCTGGTCTGGCTCTGTCGGAGACAGGCGTTGTGCTTCCGAGTGCGGAGGTCCAGAAAGCTGCTTTGGTGCGTGGGGAAGCGCCGGTCGGATTCTATCGTCAGTGCGTGGTGGTTGTGTTGGTTCTGGGTGGGTTGTTGTTGGGTGGATTGGCGTTGTGAGTGATAGAGATGGATTGGATGCGCTGCTAGATTAGATTGTGGGTAGACGTGGTGGTGTTATGTTGTTTAAATATGAATATTCCTGCTCTTTATTTATGAATGATCTATGAAAGGGTTCAATGTGAGGCAAACACAACTAGTAGGATTGGCCTGTCCTAATCCTCGTTTTATACAATCTCCTTGATCGAAACAATCAATTTACATTTCATAAATATAGCCAAATAACTGGAGCTCGGCGTTCTAATCAATAAGACAGATTGACATTTCAATTCAACTTCATCTAAGTCATAACCGATCTAAGCACCCATCCAACCAGCCAGAGTATATGATACAATTCATACAAT